GGTGACTGAGAAATCAGCCACAAGGAATTTCATACTGTTGCAACTACACAGTCCATGATGCTTTTACTATTTGTGGCACATTCTCCTGGTTTTGCTAGGATAGCGTTAATTTTCTTCTTAGTAGCTAGAATAGCTGTGTTTTAGTTTCAGAGTAAGACTTGTTATGAGAGGAATGTTGATAAAGTACTGATGATATTGGTTGTTGCGGGAGCTCAAGGCCACCGTGTCTGGCTGTTTCACAGCTGCATCAGGACTGGGAGGGAGAAGCGCAGTGAACAGCAAAACCCAGAACTGGCATCTGGTTGTGCCAATGAAATATTCCAGATCATATCCCGTCATGTCAGTATATTAACCAGGGCTGACCAAAAAGGGGGGGATTCTTTCTGGCTTTTGCTCAGGCTCCTGCTCTTCTGGGATTGCGGTTTCGGTTCGGGATCATTGATCCTCTGGGATCATTATCTGGGAACTGGCTGGGCTTAGTCCGTGGGTGGTGAGCAGTTGCACTGTGTGACTCAATTGTATATTTTATTACTGTTATCATTATCACTACTATTTTAATATTAGTATTATTTTAGGTTTTATTTCTATTATTAAATTGTTCTTATCTCAACCTACAAGCCTCCTTATCCTTGTCCCCAATCCTCTCCCCTGTCCCCTGGGGGTGGTGGGAAGTGGGTGAATGGCTGCGTTGGCTGCTGGCCAAGGGCTAGCCCAGTGAAACTATCACACATGTACAGTCTATGCCAAAGTTCACCAGTTCTAAAGGAGGATAATAATAATAATTTGATATGAAATGTCTTCCTAAATGGTTTGTGTTGAGTGCAAATACGAATTAATTTGTGTAACACTTGCAGTTTGAAATATGAATGAAGGATCCAAGTATCCATAAAATAGTACTTGTGGCCTTATTAGAACAAGTTAATCACTGAGACTTAGAAACCACAAAATTAACAAGTCTCTACATTTGTTTACCCATGCATTAGTACTTGTTTAGTTTAAAAGTTAACTTGTCTGAATCAATATAAATCCTTGCTAGGACATTTGTACCTTGGTTTAAAACCAGTTCTACTAACTTAAAGAGTTGATGTGTGCAAAACCAAAATAAATCACGTTTAAATTCTAGCATTAGCTTTGGAAAAACTGTGTATGTTTCAGCCAACATGAAATTATGCTCTTAGGCACATGTATGCATGAGGTCTAATTTATCCAGATTTGTTTTGTCTGGTCTTAAGTTACAGTTGAAAATCTCAACAGAACTTTTTCCTGAAAGGTAACAAGCCCCCAGCAATGTTGCCAAAGCGTGCAGAATACATGCTGAAGGATGTAAAAAGGATGGCAAAATACTACCGAGTACCTATACAAATGTCGAAAGTTGACTTCCAACGTGTCCTTGGTACAGGTAAGTAAGAGACAGCTTAGCTTGTATCTTTCAACTCTAGCACTCCTGGTTCAAGTTCTCCCTAACAGTAAAGGTGAAGATGAAGGATGTCCACAGCCTCTTCCTCTACCTGTAAGCAAGATGAAGTCTCTGCATTTTTAACCATAAAAGGAACTTACGGAGAAATACGCTTGTGAATGATATTGGCATGGAAGATACTGTGAATCACCATAAGCTTTACTATTTGGGGATTGTTACAGAAAAGATCATACTGTTCTTAGGTAGCACTTGTGCAGACCGTATCTGTTCCTGATCCCATGCCTTGTTTCAGTACATTTCTGTCTCCCCACTAATCCCAGGCACTCTTGGGGCCATGCGCTTCATCACAGCCATTGATATGACACAACCACAATACGTGGAACCTTTATCAAGAGAGTTCTGGATGCGGTTTTGGTCACAGGTCAGTATTTTATGAAACCTTCTTCTTGATCTTTTCTCTGTCACCCTTCCTATCCCACTTCATTCAAATGTGGAATTCAAGCAAGAGAAAAGCAGTGTCTTTTAATGAAAAGTCATAGCAGGAAACTGAAGGTAATAAATAGTTCAGGAGCCATTCCAAGAAAAGAACTAGCTTATGGTCAGCTTAATTTGCCTTCTTTTAGGTATGTATGGTGAGTCCTGTGGGCTGAGTGGATTAGTAGTTCTTAATATATTCCTAGAGAAGGTGACTTAAAACTTTTTCTGAGGAAATTTCTCCAGCAACTAGTGTTGTTTTTATTTCTGTTCTCTTAGAAAACTTGCTTTCAAGTCCAGAGCTGAGCTTTTGTTCTTAAGTACTGAATTACTTATTTTATTCTTTTACCAGCATGAAGATATCAGTCAGCCGGAGAATATGTTGGCTGTAAGTGTCTCCTTTTTGTTGGTGCTTCTGCATTTCTGCATTTTTGATACAGATTCTTATTGATGGCTTGTATCAGGAATAGACAAGAAAAAAGTGGATTTAATTTCCCTAGGAGCTCTGTTTGGAATGATTTTTTTTTTTTTTTTTTTTTTTTTTTTTGGTCATGCTCTGAATGACACTCAGAACCAGAATATCCGGTTTTGTTAATTCATGTGGTGAGATACTCAGGATGGACAATGAATTATCTGTTAATACTGTTTTGTCAGCAGTAGTGAAAGTATGAGCAGTGTCTCCAGAATGCACTGAGGTTTTGCTGCTATATGAAATATTCAGGTGAAATGGAAAGCTTTGAGGAAGTTGACTTTCCTTGGAGTGATGGAGCCAGGCTTTACTATTAAATTCAGTGCTGTATTGCCCTTTTAGACATTGTACTCTTTTCATGTATTTTCTGTTGCTGTTTAGATTTTGTTTATTACAGTAAAAGCTGTAATGGCCTGTAAGTTAGAATACCATGAGATCCTCTTTAAGGGCTCTCACTTCTAGATTATTTTATTTTTTAAGTTCTGGGAATATGAAGTAAAGAGAGGAATTGTCCATGACTAGTCTCCTCTATCCAGCATTCCTATTTGAAACCTGAAACTTGCAGTCTGGCTGTTTCCCCAGAGTCTAGTCCTTGCACTTCAGCTTCATCTTAGTGCAACTTTTTCACCAGAAAAACTTCTTCTTCAAAACTTTGCATTTTGCCTTTTTTCCAGAGGCAAGATTTGAAGGATATAATTAAACCATGGCGTTTTAACCCTGGTAGGCAGCTAAGCACCACAGAGCTGCTTGCTCACTTCCCTGGACTGCCCAGCAGGACAGGGGAAGAGGAAAGGAAGAAAACAAGAAAACCTGTGGGTTGAGATAGAATTGCTTAGTAAGCAAAGGAGAAGTGGAAGAAGAGAGAAAGAAAACAAAACAAGCAATGCAAAGGCAATCACTCGCCACCTCCCACAGGTAGACCGTTGCCCAGCCCAGAGGTGGCTAACCTACCTAAGCCCCCTCCTCTCATTTCTGATTGCTGAGCATGATGTTACATGGCATGGAATATCTCATTGGTTGGCCTTGTTGTGTCCTCTCCCAACCTCTTGCACACCCCTAAACTATTCACTGCTGGGGGAAGAGTGAGAAACAGAGAAGGCCTTGACACTGTGCAAACGCTGTTCAACAACAGCTAAAACATTAGTGTGTTACCAGCATTGTTTTGGTCACAAATCTAAACCACAGAATCATAATGAGCTGCTATGAAGAAAATTAACTCTATCCCAGCCACACTCAGTATGTAAATATCTACAGACAGTCCTTGCATAGTCTCTGAATCCATCATTATTTAAATAAAGATAAAGCAAGGATATGCAGAATTTCAGACAAACAAACTTCATACTCAAAAAGATCTCCATGTAATTTAGTCACTGGTGGTCTGTAAGTATCCACCTCTGTTCAGCAAGGCAGAGACGAAGGCACTTCCTTGTTTGCTTGTGTCTCTCTTCATTCACTCCTTTACCAAGTACTAGACATTCCTGTCTTGTCAAAATACCCATCCAAAGCTGGGTGAGGGGTCCCAGCCCTTTCACATGAGTCTTTGTAGGTGAATTTATTTTACATGCCAATTAGAAAAATCAAATGTTGTTTATTTTATACAGTTTCTTAGTATTTTTTAACTTTTTTTTTAGTCAGCAGAAACTTCACATAAACTACTATAGAAGCAATGTATGGTCTTTGAGTCCTGCCCCAGTCCACTTAAATACCCCTTCTACCCTAGAATAGTGAAGGACCAAAATCCATGTCTCTGTAAATATTGCAGTCTAAGCACTATGGCTACCAAGCACACACAGGATTTTGTTCTACTCCAGTGCTACACTTGTTTATCTCCCATTCAAGCAGAGTCAAAAAGAGCTCCTAATCTCCCTCATGTGGAAGTAGGAGAAGGCACAAGAAAATGTGGACACTAAACAAAAAAGTGATTGAGAGAAAGAAGGAATAAATCATTAACAGCTGCATGTGTAGGATTACTGGTTCATGTGCAATACTTTAAGCTTTTTTTATTTTTGTTAGCCAATAAACATTGGACCTTTACCTTTGGCCACTTTATCTCAGTCCTGTGTGGCAGCAGCACAGAGGAGGCTAAAAAGATACAGTAATAACATGAGCAACTGTTTAACCTCTGTGAGTTACAGTCTTTTTCACGCACTATCACTTACAGTTCCTGTGAGGCCACATTTATCATATCATACAAACTGGTTTTGTCTTGGCAGGCTTGTACAGTAAGATTTTTCTTTTTCAGAACTTTTTTCTTTTTCCCCCCCACTAAGTTATCTGGTAAGTCACTGGATCAGAGGTTAAACTTTTTTTATTCTTCCTTTTTTTTTCTGTTTAGGAACTGAAAAAAGGTGCAGATTTTGGGCTTGGAAGTTTAAAATATTCTGCCTACTTTATTTCTGAGAATTGATAAATGATGAATGGGTTGGGAATACAGCAAAAAATTGTGCAAGAAGTGCTTCAAGGGTATTTTGTATTTTTTTTTATAGTAGACCTTGGATTATAATATTGAAGATTAAACTAATTAGACCATAGTAGAAAACAGAATATTTAGTATTACAGTGCTCTTAATTATATCATCACTTCTCAGGCTGCAGGACAGGCTGGGCTATCATCAGATGTCGCCCAGAAGGTACTTGAAATGATTTCATCCCCTGCAGTGAAGAACCGACTGAGAGAGACAACTGAGGAAGCAATAAAATATGGGGTGAGATGTTTCCAATGCCATTTGGCACCACAGCTGTGCACTCCTTCCCTATTAATAATACGGGGAGACAAAGTACAATGAAGATGATTATTAGAAAGCACTATATAGACAATCTCTCTTAGGTGGTCTTTGATTTTTGAACATGTGAAAGCTGACTCACTGTTGTTGGTAGTTTATCATGTTGTCATTTGGGAAACCAAGGCTGGCTCATTCAGCTCATTCCAGCTGGACAGCAAGGATGGGGAGCTACAGGACCTACTAAGAGATAACCATTTATCACTAGTTGACATAAAACTGGATTTACCAGGTTGCTTTTTTTGCTCCTTCAAAAGGGGCACTCAGGCTCTGGAAAGTCCCCTACTTTCTGATGCCTCCATTAGATTCATCCTTAAGAATGAAGAAGGTGAAAAATTGAGGAGGGAGTTTTTGCTTTTTCTTCCTGATGATTGATCATGTGTTTGCAAAAATTTCTCCCGTTATAACATTCTCTGTTTCATCTCTATGGTGTCAATAGGCATTTGGGATGCCTGCTGTTGTGGCACATATTAATGGGGAACCTCATCTCTTTTTTGGCTCTGATCGTTTAGAGCTGCTATGCAGCATTATAGGTGAGTGTACCTAATAACATCACTTTTGATTTCATACTTTCATCCTCTTTTAATGAAATATGTAGTAGAGCTAAATAAAACACTTGAAATTCTTTCAAATATTAAATAATCATAGAATCATAGAATGGTTTGGGTTGGAAGGGACCTTAAAGATCATCTAGTTCCAACCCCCCTGTCATCAGCAGGGACACCTTCCACTAGACCAGGTTGCTCAAAGCCTCATCCAGCCTGGCCTTCAACACTTCCAGGGAGGGGGCAGCCACAGCTTCTCTGGGCAACCTGTGCCAGTGTCTCATCAAACAGAAACCAGGCTATAACATTCCAATTAGGATTAGAATGGCAGGGGGGTTGGAACTAGATGAGCTTTAACGTCCCTTCCAACCCAAACTATTCTGTGATTCTCCGATTCTCAGTTCCAAGGACTTCAACAGATATTGTTTCTCAGACTCCCTAGCCCTCTACCCTTTTGCTCTTCCTCACCCTCAGCTCCTCAGAAATCATGTCCTAAAAAGAACTGGCTTCACCCTCACGTGAAGTGCCTCAGACCTGCAGAATCTCTCATCTGTGACAGAGGAAAATAATTATTCTGTACAGCTTCAGTTGTGATAGTGAAGGATTTATGGAGCTGGCTGAAGAATGACAAGACACAAATCAGTATTCCATCATCTGTAGTTACCCTTCAAAGGAGGAGTAGGAACAGTCATCCTGCTACAGAAATGTGACTAGCCCATCACTTCTATGTATTAAATTTTAACTTTCTCTTTTGTGCTGGTTTTTCTTGCAGGTGAAAAATGGCTGGGACCAGTTCCATCAGTTCCAAGCCCCAAGATGTGAAAAGTCCTGGGGAAATATATAAGAGTGAAAATATATATATGTATGTGGTCAATCTTCACTGATTTTCTGAATGTATCCAATTTTACAGAGAGATGGCTTTCTTATCCTTAACAGCTAACTTCACAGCTCAGTGTCATCTCTAATTACAAAGCAAAGAAGTTGAAGGTTTGCCAGTATTACCAGTCTGGTGAGGTCTTTGCTAACACTGATGTGCTTCTTTTCTTTCAACAGATTAATGATTAACATTGAAGATTAAACATTCTTCTTTCCTGATTAGTTCTCTTTCTCTTACCCTAAAAGCACGAGGATTAAGTTGTTGTTATGGGACTGCGATCTCTGGATTTCTCATGTCTTCCTGCTTGTGCTTTAGAAACACACACACGTACTAAGAGAATCTGGCTATATTCTCCTTTTATTTTAAGTCCAAGATACTACATAGACACTAGAAGCACAGGACAAGGTATTCACACCTCCTTTTACTCTGCAGCATGGCAATTGGTGGGGACACAAGAAAGAAGAGTGGAAGAGAGAGGGACAATTCAAGCCTAGAGAAAAATCTAGGGAATGAATCAGGTATTTCAAGAGGAACTGTCCCCTTCCTGGACAGTATTTTATACCCCCTGCTGTGCAGTGAGTGACATTTGAGGAGACCACCACACACATGCATTCGCAGGCACCAACCCCAGACCTTGGAGGGGTTTTTAATTAATACCAGTTTTACAGTAATCTCTTTGGAGGAGAGTGGTGAATACCATATGTTTAGTTGGTAACTGAACCAGACTCTGTTTTGCTTCCTCAAGGATGGCCCAATTGCTGCCTATCCAAAGGTGATCTGGTTATGGCTATGAGGGATTTCCCATCATACAGTCTGCAGAGGGAAAGATAGGCAAACAATAAATAAAATCAAAACACTTCATTTTTCACTCTCACCTCTGATTACAGTAGTTAGAAATTTCACACTGAAATAGTTTGAACCTGGCTCTATATTGGCTGCACTGGAATAACACTCACATTAATTTGATTTGTATGAGGCTTGATTTCTCAGTGATTCCTGGCTGTCTCTGACGCATCACTGAAGGAAGCAGAAGAACTAGCAGCAGCTGGGATTCCGTTTTTTGTCTCTTTCTGAGCTTTAAGGTAAAGCATATTCATGCTTGTTCACTTGAACAGCAAATCCTGGAACAAAGCATCAGAAAAAAAACCTGTATCCATGTTATTACAGCTCTAAGTGTTCTGGGAGTATCATTTGTTCTCCCATCCACAATTTTCCCCTCTTACACCTCCTTCAGCTCTTCAGGAAACATCCTATAATTTGAGAACTCCTTCCTCCTTTCCACCAATGCACCCATTAGTCTTTGGGCAAATCCAGCCTTGAATTTAAGGAAATATTTGTGAGATTTAAGAGGCTACATTCATTTAGGAGTTAGAATGGCGGGGAAGTCATCACGTACGTGGATGCCATAGGTTTTTTTGAGTCCCCTGAAGCCATGTTAAAGAAATTTTTTACCATTTCACCCCTGAAATTTGCTGGTCTCCAATTTATGGTGTCAAACTGATTCTAAGGTTGTGATAAAAATGGAATGACTGAAGTATCACTTTAAGCCTGGTCACCCCAGTGACCTGAGGTCACTGCCATAGGCAGTGCTGTCTCAGAAATGGGTAAAATGAATCTCTGTGGAGGTGATGAACTCTGGTGGGAAGGTAGGTAGAATGCAAGGAACATCTAGAAGTAATCTCACGGTGACAGCCAACATCTCATAAAACTCTGTCCTTTGAACCAGCCTGACTGAAAAAAAAAAACCCAGCCTTTGTGACAGAACATTGTTGATTTAGCAGATGGACAAAATGAGATGGATCTTATAGACTGCTATATATTTCCCAAAATTATCTTAAAGGCCCTTAGACCTACTTGAAATCAGGAGAAATTAAATGCTCAAAGCCTTGGGTACTAAAATGGTACTGAGATAAGGAAGTTCCAAACTCAGGCTTTTCCTTGCCTTGCTTATTGCCTAGTAAGTGGTTACACACAGCCTTTGCATTTATCAGTGAGTTTGCATATTGTTGCAATTCTAGACCTACTTCGAGCAAAATCTGCCTGTTTTGAGGAAGTTCTGTCTTGTTTCGGCAGCCTCCTGTGTTACGGAGACCTGATGGTGAACAGAAGCTCTTGGCAGACACTCTGGTGGTTACCCCAGCAAACAGCAGCTGGCAGCTACACTGGACATTCTCAGTACTTATCCTTGGCGTAGCATGCATTTAAGTAGTCTCAGTGCTGAGTATCAGCTTCTTTACCTGGCTTTCCTTTCTCATCTGCTGTCTGTCAGTCTGCTGAGACACCAATGGCCACCACCGCAGGGAGTTGAACTGTTTCTCTTCATTTCTCTGAATGCCACCAGGTGGCAGGGCAGCAAAAAGCTGAGCATTACTTGGAAAAACATTGAGGATCTAAACTGTTGTGTCTTTTTGCAAGGCACAGGGGTAGATGATAAGCAGTAGTAAGAACTGCCAGCTATTTAGGAATGCTAGATGATCTTTAAGGTCCCTTCCAACCCTAACCATTCTATGACACCTCTTCTACTTAGCTATACACCAAACTAGTTCCTGAGAGCTTAACATCCACATCTCTTTCAAGGTAGCATGCTTTTTAGCTGTCAAGCCAGGAAAGACACTGAGCAAGAAGGACTTTTAGCCAAAAGAGAGACTCTCAGCGACGCAGCCAAAACTGGACTATGAACTCTAGGGAACAAATTTGGAGTTGTGTTGCCTTTTGCTCCATTCCAGACCTCACCAGGAGATCCAGTCCCACTTCCCATTTCTGGAAAACCTATGAAAGTGGCATGAAGAAGTAGGTCCCACCAACACGAGGCTGAAAGCAAACAAGCAAGGGCAGAGACAGGCATAAAGTCACAAAATGAGCAAAAGAAAATGGTTCAGTAAAACAAGGAAACCATAGGAAGCAGAGGACAGGTGCAGAGAAAGCTAGGTGGCATGTGAACAAAGGAAACAGAGCAATGAAAGAAAAAGAAGAGAATAAAACTAAGCATAGATTAGGACAGAGAGAGGTGTCTCAACAGGAAATGCTGTTCCCTGAGAGGGAGCAGGCAACCAAGAAAGGCAGAGCTTAAGTAGATTAAACTGGCCAGAGTCAGCTGGCCATGGAAGATCACTTTGGGAAGAAGGTATAGGATTAACTGTGAAGCCATACAGTATTTGCTGTACTCTTTCAGCAGGGCCACGGATGGCCCAGGGACCTGCCTCCACCCTGAACCACTGGCCTGCAGCACTGCTTCATGTTCATTACCTGTGCTCCTCACCCACTGAGACAGTCCTCCAGCGGTGACCTCACACGCAGCACAAAATGGAGGCCTGCAGAACAAGGCAGTTCTTTAACCTTCCCCAGCAAGCACCTTCTTATTGTCCTTTCTTGTCCTCTCAACCCTCAGCAAGCAACACCTCCTAAATTAAGTCTCTCTCTTTTCTCCCATCCTTATCTCTGTGCACGTGAGAAGGAAACATTTTATTAAAGCACTTACTGGATTATGGTGCTGAGCATCTGCTTTGCTGCCTTTTCCTTTTCCAGTGGAGCCAGCAACACTGCTGGAAGGAAGCAACCTGCTTCCTAGAAGGGAACCAAGCACAGAACAATACAGAAATAATCAAAAGAGGGTATCCCAGGAGCTGCACACATAGCTGGTTTTACCCTAGACTTTTCACAGACCTGTGGCTCATCCATCGCTAAGAATGAAAGGAACAACCAACTTGACTAATGTTACCTTGACCTACTTCTCATTCCAGCTTGAAACAGGAAAGTGACTAATTTGCATTCATCTCATTCAAAAAAATCATTGGTTCTAGGCTGTGTTTCATTGCCACAGCTGTTTTGGCTATAGCATCTTGCCTAAAGAAGCTATGTCTATAGCTATCTAATGAGTAATGAGGGCATTCTCTAACTTTCCTAAATGTTTCCACCAGTCTCATTTTCAATTTCTATCTCAGTCTACTCTTATACACAAAAAATAGTTTCAAATAATAACAGCAGGTTCCAGTAGGTGACAGCATCATGCAGTCAAGCTAAGAAATGCCATTACTGAACATATCTGTGCAAGCTGATTGCCTTATCCTGAAAAATACACTTTGTGAAGCAGTCTAATCCTGTGCTCTCACAGTATTTCTCTTCCTTCTCCTCCATCTGCCCTCTCAAGATTCCCACATCTGACCTTGGGGTTTAAGGAATTTGCCTGTCATCACATATCAACATCATGGCAAAATCAGGGATGAAATACTCTGCAGAATTCACAAACTTAGAACATTATTTTGCTTTCTGTAATCATCTTATATTCACCATACACATTTCACAAGAAATAAGTATGATGTCTTTAACGTAACAGCCCTCTTTCTTACATCATTCTAATTTATTCTTAGGTGACCCTCCATCCTACACACTAAGGATGGTTTAAAATTATTAAATACCATAATTTCATAAACAGTATAGTTTCTGGGAGTTTGCTGTATTGCAACAATAAATCTGTATTATAACCCTTTTCTTTGAATCAGAGGAAAATGGAAAGAGTCTGAATTAAAGATCTGGTGTCAGCATTGAATGTGTTAAGGGGGGGCAGAAGGAGCAGACAAATTAATTTGATAACATACCTATCCACTATTCAATCAGGAAAGTTAAACAAGCTGTAAAATTCAGGTAATGAGGGATTCCTGCAATAAGATGGTAAGCTTCAATGTTCTTCACAGGAAGATTTTTTTCTTTTTAAACTGTAAATTATCATACCAAAATTTTCTAGGGAAAAGATGAGATGCAACTGTATTTCAGCAGTTTTTCAAAGGTCGACTATCCCCTTTCCCAGTTTCATGATATAATTTAAAACTCTGAGGTTTACAAAACTGGAACCTGACTGCCATTTGTTGCTAGACTATGGCTCTAAACAACATGAATTTGCAGTACCAGGGTTCTTCTCTATTTTGCATATATCCCAGCTCCAGTACTTTGGTATTTAATTATGATGTATGTTTGTAGGTAGTGGCTAATAGAACGAGTAACTGAATAAAAACATATCTAAAACAACTACGCATATCAACTAACCTAGAAGTGTCTTAAAGAAAGCATTGAGGAGGGTTATAGCTGAATTTATATCCTGGCCTTGAGGCTAGGGGGAAAGTCACCTCTGCCTCATATGATACGCACTGGCAAGAGACACACGTTGCTGCTTTAAAGCCAACTCTGAAAACAGCAGTTTTGGCAGTGGCAGTTCTCTATGTCTTTATCTAGTTCTGGATGCCTCTCTGTATCCCAAGGTGTTTTCTTTGCTTTCAGTTTAGCCGAACTCTGGCATTTCTTCAGTTTGTTATGCTTGGTTATGGATAATCACAGTTCTTCCCTGTTGCATAGGTTAACCCAAATTATCAATGTTCATTTAAATGTAATTTTATCTAGGAATATTAACATGTTTTGCCACACTTGATTTTTTGGTAATTAGTCTTCTGTCAGGATTGGCAGCAGTACATAAATAGAAAACTTTTTAGTATTTGCAAAAATAAAAATAAATATATCATCCCTGGTTTTTTTCCTGTTTTTTTTAGCACAACAAATTTGTCTTAATCCTATCTTTTTCTAGCTCAAGAACTGTCAGAATTTCTGGAAAATAAAATGTCAAAAAACTTTGAAATTCCTAAGGATAAAATTTCAGTTTGTGCTTAGAAAATGCAGGCTCAGCTCTGCTACCTCATGTACCTTTACATTCACGTAACCTTTTATTTCCTTCCTCTCTGCCTCTTCATCTATTACCACAAACACATTCTAAATGGTGTGGATGGTGACATCAAGCGTTCTTACTGCGGCAGCAATGACACTCAAGACTACGTCTCTACAGTCTTCTGGTTAGAGAAGTTGATTTCAACCAGTTGGAAAAGTATCCACTGTGTTTATCCCTTTTAACCATGGCTCTCCTGGCATAAATCAGAAGTCCATATACAAATATGCATGTTTGTTGGTATACCTTTATATACCTTTTTTTTTTTTTTAATATGTGCACTGAAGATACAAGAGTGGATATGGTACAGCAAAAAAATCACCACTCCTGCAGGGTGCAGCTGTTTTACGATGCCAAGGTACTGAGAAACTATAGTGAAAGTTTTGCAGTGTCAGTGTCAGATCACTGCCATTCACAATGGAGTGTATAAAACCTAAGAATTCTGTTGAACTTTACATTGCATTCTCTGTAATGACTGTTCTCAGTGATGTATATTAATGATGTATATACCTGTAGGGCAATAAGGAGTCGGCAGATAGGGAGACTATCTGGGAAGAGCAGCAGAGGCCACTGGAAAGCATCCCTTCTTCCAATATCCATAACAAAAGGGGAACAGCTAGGCTGAATAACCTAGCACTCTTCTGCTGGAGAGTATATTGAGTCAGCAGCTTTTCCCCAAGGTGGCAAGCTGGGAGCTCAGAATGAGCTGGGCCTGTACTATCAACTTAGCACTTGGATCTGGATCTGCACTTTCATAGCTCAGCTGCAGATCTAGGATCCAGTGGGATTTTCTGGCAAGAAAAAGAATGCAGGAAGAAAAATGTGGCATAAGTGAGCAGACATGTAAAAGGGGAGAGAACCCAAGTTCTCTCCTTATAAACTATAATGGAAGTTTACAGTGGATCACTTCCCCCGGGCTTTATGTGACACAAGTAGATGGGAATGATACGTGGATTTGTGGAAAGACCACACTTGGATTAAACTATGGGCTGTGGCAGGGAGGCATTAAAAACAGCACTGCATTATGACAAGGGGAACTGCAGTGACCCACAAGGTCAAAAGGAACGTGAAATCTTTTACTTTATGACAATAAACAATTCTTGACATTCAAGCAAAACAAACTAGTTTGCATTTACACTAATTTTCTGCTCCCATTAGTATTTCTCATCACAAGTAAGCTGTTTGTTCACTTTTGACAGGCAACCATCTTTCACACCTGCTTGGTCTCAGTGAAGTGCCACAAAGGCAACACAAATGAACAAAGCGCAAACATTTGTGAAAGGAGCTGTGGCCTGCTGAGGATAATCCCAGAATTGTGGAAATGGTAGCCTGGACAATGCCACGGTGATACAATGAAAACCCTCACGCCACCAGGCTCAAAGCAGCTATTGCCTTTATGGTGTAATTTCCTGATCCTTTCAAAAAGAGACAATTTCATGGTATTGGGCATCCTGGCATTATAGTATTTATTTATCACTCTTCCTCTGAGCTGATGACACTGAACTATTTTTTCCTAGCCTTCAACACAAGGTTCTACAGAAGCTCATTCACAACTTCTGCCTCTTAATAGCAGCTCAATAGCTGTCTTCTGCTGTGAAGGTCCCTGACATGCTGCTTTTTCATATCCCCAGATTTAACACCTTTACGTCTCTCCCTCAGAACAGGGAGGCTCTGTATACGGCACCCCCCTTCCTAATTATAGCATATGGCTTCGCTCTCTTCTTCCTCTGCATAATCAATAACTCCACTTGTTTTCCCTGTTCTTCCAGAGTTTCAATACCAGACCCTTGGGTTCTCCTGTGCCTCTAAGTATACAAGCACTCATGCTGTGAGTTGTTCTGCAGAAGTGAAGTCTTACAGAACATCTCACAGAACAGAGGTCTGCAGAACATCTCACAGTATCACATCTTCACTGCTGTTGCTAAGATACAGGCAATTTTAAGCAGGGATCTGATGGCCATTCTTGATACCTTCAGACAGGGCTGCTGCAGAGACTGAGAGACCTAACTCTGTCTTCAAAGTAAACTGGCTTCACTTTCTGACCCTTGTAATCTTTTTCAACAATCCCTTTTCACACAATTCCTATAAGGATTTCACTCTTCCTTCCAACCCTCTTCCTTGCCATCCACATAATCCCTAGTGTCTCTTACCATCTCAGCCTGCTCCTGTTCCAGAATCTTTTAGCAACAAATGTTAAGTTTTGCCTTCCACAGCCCCAAATGACTTCCCAATCTCAAAGGCTTCATCTTCACTCATATTTTCCCAAACCTTTACACAGTCCCTTCAGCCTCGTTCTCAGAAACAGACTGAAACTGATTTAAATTTTCCATCATTTTAGGTTTAGGCTGATGTTCAGCAAGAAATGTTTCAATCCAAACCAGTTCATTTTAACAAAGTGAAACACAACTGCAAACAGGGTCTGAGATCAGGGCAGCTGACAGAACCTCAACAACAGATAACTGCAATAGTTCTGCCTGCTATGGGGCTTAAAAGAATTTCTAATGACTACAATAATCTCTGCACTGTGAAAGGGCCCAAGCTGACTATAATCAACTACTTCACCTTTAATCAAGTACTAGACTAAGAGCCCAGCCTTGGCAGTCAGAAAGCTCAGTGCATGTTAGCTACCTGATTACCCAGCTTCTCAGGAGCATACAGCTTTGTTCAGGAAGCACTGTTTCTGTAAATCCTATATCCAAACTATCTAGTTTATAAAGAGGTATGGGCACTGCATTCAGAAGAGCAACCACTGAGCAACATGCTCTCCAAAGAAACACATAAACACATTAATTCTTTGCAAGCTACTATAACTCCTCCAGTAGTGTGTAACAGCACTATTTATTCACGCTACTGAAACACACTCCCCCTCCCATTCGCTCCCCATTTAAGTTCACATGCTAGTTTCTCTCCCCATTTCTCTGAGCCTACTGTCTACTTATACTTCTCAAATCTTAAGTATAGCATACAAAGATTTTGCCAAACGAATGTGGCTCAATCTTTCATGTGCTTCTGGAAGCATAAGTAGAGGATTTTTTTCTTTTTTTTCTTTCTTTCTTTTTTACCTGGTGAGCTGGAAGTACTGGGTGTGCAGTCACTGTCATCCAGCCACATACTCTGAACCACTGAATCCTGTTTTGGAGGGCCCTCAAGAGAGCACGTCAGCTCCTGGAGAGGGCAAAGAAGATGTGTTTTAATAATGCACTTGGTAAAACCAGGGAGGGTAGCCTCTGTTTGTTAGAGATCATGCACCCACCCTGTCATTCTCCTCTTCCTCAGATGTTTCATTTTCCCTCAAACCACTACAACAACTGCTTACACTGGATGAAGAACGTGAGACTGGCTGCATCACACAGTATCCTGAAGTCTGACTCCTGAGCATTCTGTAAAATGTAAGCATTCAACATAATCATGCTTATTGTTACACCAAGGCTTGCACTTTTTGTGACATAGCTTTATTATATACCAGTCAGAAACAGAAAGAAATTATTCGCCCACAGCTAGTTTTTCCACCTAGGAACAGAATTCAGGTGAATTGGCTTGCAGTCCTTAACTTCTAGTTACTACTTCCATTTAGTAGAAACACTATTTATTGTTTCCATTCTGAATAACTATATGAAAGGACAAGACTAACTGAATTTTTAAGGCATAGACCTACATGTCTTAAAGCAGAGTGAGTCCAACCACCTGCATTAAGCACTGTTTACCTCTAGACTTGCCTTAAAATGAACAGATGCCTTCATTTTGGAGATCAGATTTTAGGAACCTAAATACAACATGAGGACGTGTTAAACTGAGTATAAAGGGAAGGCACTACCCAGCCAAGGCTGCCCATTCCCACAGCCACTCTCAGCCTGTCACGCTTGGTCTTATGTGAAATTCCAGACAGTACAAGGGGGCCATAAAAGCACATTTATTCATGTCACAGAACCTCTTCTAAACTGTCACCACTGTGTTTCCGGACAGTTGTAACAGGAGGAGTCAGGAAAGCATATAGACATTAACCACTACTTTAGAATGGTTAAGTAAGAAAGTTAAAGGAAGCAATGGGAATGTAGAAACAAATTACTGAGATGCACATTATTTTAGGATGTCTGGGTACCAAACTATTAGGATCAAGTGCCAAGCTCTTGCACAGACAGGTCAGAACCCTCCTCCTGTTTACAGACAGGAACATACCTAGGTCAGAATGCCCATCCTGCTGATTTTGCATGTGCCTAGTTGCCAGCAGGTTGGCTCCTGTAGGCCCGTCCCACTAGACTTTTAGCTCCCACAGGGTCATTACAAGGGGAATGTTCAAAGCAAACTGTATTGGATCACTTGACCACCACTCTCTCAAATGTCATGGACACTGAGGTAGCCTGGTGCACTTTTCATATCTGTCAAGAAAGACCCTTAAGGTCAGCTTCTCCCACCTCAGAATTTGGGAACCATTGCTTGCCATCATCCAGGAGAAAGAGCAGTCAATGAGGCTGATATGCTTACATGGTGGAAGGGGTACTGTGCATGTAAGCCGAACATTTATGGTGAAATACTCACTGCCTGCACAAGAGACCAGCCAATAAGAGAGAATTAAGTGCTTAAAAATGTTAAGAAACACAAAAAAGCTAAGAGAGGCAAGAAAGATAAGACACCTTTAACATACTAAATATATTTATTCCTTCAGAAACACTGCAAAATGTGGCCAGTCTTGACCTACAAGCAGTAATGAAACCTAAAGTCCCAGGCATATTACATGCCAGCATGCAACAGGGAGAACAGTAAAGATAGGGCCGATATAGGCCAAAGACATTTCCTCAGGAGACTAGGAGATATATTTTAGAGGAAATGAAGGCCAACATGCTTCTCCCTTGGCAGAGCAAATCAATAACATGAATTTAAGTGAGCTGGGACCTAGATTTCCACAAAGTATCTCCTTCTCAGCATCCTTCCTCAGCGGGTTTCTCCATCCTCATTCTCTGCACTGTACTTCCTGACCTACGTCATCCAAAGGCACTACAGACAGAGGTGGAAACATGTTCTTCTGCTCTTGCCTCCCGTGGGCCAAGCTGTTCTCTTCTCACTTATCTGAGGGGAGGGGAAGAGAAGGGGGGCACTCAAGGTGGCCTCTTTTCCCCATCATTAGTAAGTTTGTTTCAGTGGCTGCTGACTGGGCAATGGGAAGGGCATAGAGCCAAAATGCTCCAACAGAAGCTATCCATCCATCTCCCTTGCCCAGGATTCCTGCTCCAGAAACTGCCAGTGGAGCATTACTTGGTGCCACTTGGTCTCTCCACAGTCCTTGAGGTCCTTTAAGTAAGTTCATGCTCCTCTTAGCCAGGACTCTCATTTCTCCCCCAGAATCTTGACAGTATCTTCAGTGAGGTAACCAATGACTGAGTAGCATCCGGTCCACTCCTGATTGGCTTGATGTCCCCACTCAGATGTGTCTGAGGAGGGAAAACACACACACAAAAAACCCATGTACTTTTCCTAGGATTTGGACACAGACAGTACAGTGCTTGATTTTTCAGACGCAACCCAGAAAGCCATCTGATCCTGAGGAGTTTTGCTACTTGGTTACTTAGGCTGGGTTCATTCTTTAGAGTCCGTCCCTTGGGAAGAAGGATTATTTAGAAGGCTGCCTGGACAGTAGAGCAGAAAAACTAAGTACAATTGTCCCTGCATGTAGGAGAGAAGACACTGTTAGCCTACGTGAACAATGCAGTTTCATGGATTTCAGCCTGATCACTGCAGAAGGGTGTGTTGGAAATCGGCATGCAAGGAAAGAAAGTGCTGGTTTGTCTCTACTGGAAAAGAACTAATCTATGATTTATGTGTTCCCTTTGCATTTATTTCCAGGTTGGTTTTAGTAGGTTTTATTAGAACACAGATGAAGTGTTTGATCACTCAAGTCTGGAATCTAAAATTATTATTTAAGACAGCAGCAACATGCTGGACATTTTTGTGATAGAGAAGTTTCCTGTGATGCTGCTTCGGGGAGAGAACCAGGAGTGGATTGATGACATATTACCAGGGACAACAATTTTAATATGGCCTGCGTAAATTACTCTAGAACAAGCTGTAACTCTTTTTGGATTAGAAATATGCCTATATCATGATCCTGATTTGTGGTTCCACAATTAATGAACAATAAATAGGCTATTTCAGTAGAACTTCAGTAGAAGTGTCTCTGAGACAGTTAGAATTTCACTCCTAGCCTGTTCCTGCAATAGTGTCCCAACACTGTCTTGGCGAAAACTGTGTGCTTTCCACGGTGGAATTACATGTCCTTGATTCCCTGTCCCAGATACAATGCAGAAGGTATGACTGCACGTGGGCTGGTCCCCAACTCTGAAATCACAATTCTAACTAACTCTGGCTAATCACTAAGTGTGCAAAACTCCATGCTACATCTCACCTCGTACACAAACTGTCCAGGAATGGGCTAAACCACCACAACTGTGAAAAGACTTTTTCTGGTGATCAAACAAGTGGTTGCAAAAAGATGCATAGAAAGAATCCTGGGGACAGAAGTAGACAACACTGCCAAATCATACAGGTCATGCCTCATGTGCATAAGCAATATTCATGCAAGTATTGTTAGTGAAATCCCATGCTATGTTTGCTCTCTGAAAGCACGTGATGTCAACTGAAACAGCCACTGCAGCTGGCTCACCTCCTCAGCTGAAGAATGGAGAATAGAGACTGGGAAGTGGGGGAAGCCTTCAAATGTGGAAATCAGGAACAGATGTCAAGAAAGCTTCATCTGTTTTTTCCAGGGCATGCCCACATTCTACAGTAGGGTAACCAGGACCAGCCAAGCTATGAGATGTTTTCATACTAGGCAGAATTCTTCCCAATTATGCAAGGTTACTCCAGCTACCTAATCAGAGCAAGAGTCTCTCACATGTGCCTAGCGAGGAACTTCTAGTTCACAAACAAGGCAGGATGAGGGAAGGGGAGGTGGAATGATGTGGTAATGCTGGAAGATGGGGGTTGCTGACCAATCAATGGTTCCATGTCCTGCATCCTCTCTTGTCCTTGGCTGACGGAGCTTGCATCTTAAATAGTCTGTATCTCCTAGCTGTGCTCCCATCCTCCTCACCGCCAAAATTCTGGACACCCACCCAACCCAAAAACTAGTATCACAGAAGCATACTTACCAGAACTCTGCACCTTGGCTGTGACAAAATTCTGGGCAGTCCTGCAGCATACAACTGAGAAGCTGAACTACTGCAGATAGTCACCAGCTTGTAATTTTTAGGGAGCATTGGGTCTAGTTGGAAGGAAGGCCCTTCCTTGTCCGACTTGGCACCTGGAGCAACTACAACCACAGAGACCTGGCTCTAGGGCACCTCCTGAAATTTTCTCGGAGCAGCCTCAGTCCTGAGAAAGGGACATGCCCTGCTACAAAGTACTCAGGGCCCTTTTTGCCACAGGTCTCATTCAAGTTCTCATGAAAAACATCAGGTGTGGCAAGCTGTTCCAGAAAGTCAGCTGCAGTCTTGGATTTAGAGACAGGCTGCTCTGGAGTCTTGGAAATGTAAATGTGTGATTTCCATGACGTCCTGACGTATCCTAGATCGGATCACATCCCAGCATAATACAGCTTAGCAACAGCAAAGCTGTATTACCAGGAAAGTGCATTTTTTGACCACCAAAAACTGGAGAACTATTTTGCAGACTACTGCACCAGGTGTTCAGTAGAACATCGGGTGTGGTGTGGCATGGCATGCTTTAGCAATCAAACATAGGTGCAACACATGAGACCCTGCTGTAACATCTGTTGTAACACTTGGGAGGTCTGAAAACAGGCTAGTTCACACTGGTGCCAAGCAGCAGTATGAATCCTGCTTAAAGGGGCAGAACTTGAGCACAACCTGACATCCCAACATACCCTTGTCCAAGCTTCTCCATGAAGCTCCAAAATCACTCCAGAGCAAACTATAGAGGAAACATATACATGAGTAAGCATGGATAACTGGACAGCTAGGGCTCTGTGTATCCTGCTGGATGCAAGCTAAGATCACACTAAATACATAGCCAAAATCACCTTTAAGTGGTCCAATCTTTCTCCACTGGCTGTTTAGGAAAGCCGAGTTCCTTACTTACATGCGCTGAATACTGTGCCACGGCCAGACATCTAACTTTTAAGATGCTGCAATGCCTGATGTGGACAATTTGAGTAAAGCTTCCAACAGAGAAAGACATGCACCACACTTAAGCCAATACCAGACACAGTGAACATCTTTCAAATATTAAAATTATTTGCAACTCACTTGCTCTTCCTGCTGGGGAACTCTGGGGAGCTGGGACTGGATGATCCATCAGATTTCAGGTCAAAGAAAGTTCCTGGACTGTCCAGCACCTTCTGTATCCTCTCTGCAGTGTCTCTGCTGGGACAAAAGAGAAACCAGCTATACCCCAGGGCCACTATCTATTCTAACATTCCTTACAAGCCACAAAACAAAGCTGGATCTCTCATATACACATGAAAGCCACTGTGCTGCTAGAAAGCTATGACCTGGCTGCCATTACTGAAACCTGGTGGGACGAATCCCATGACTGGAGTGCAGCTATCGATGGCTACAGGCTGTTCAGAAAGGACACACAATGAAGGAGGGGTGGAGGCATTGCTTTCTACATCAAGAAATGGGTAGAGTGTGAAGAGCTGTCTCTGAAGAATAACCACAAACAAGTTGAAAGCTTATGGGTAAAAATTAGAGACCGAGACAACAAAGGGGACTTTGTGGTTGGTGTCTACTACAGGCCACCCAATCAAGGGGAGCCTATTGACAAAGCCTTCTTACTCCAGCTACAGGAAGCATTGTGCTCACAGGCTCTCATCCTGCTGGGGGACTTCAACCTCCTCAACATCTGCTGGAAAAGTAGCACAGTGAGTAGCTGCTTAGTCCACTAAGCATCTGAGCCACCACGAGGAATGGGACGGGACTGGGTAGTTGAAAAAGACACTTGGGAGAGGGAAAGTATGGTATCTGCTTTTCAGTAGCAATGAACTGTCAGAACAGACCAGTTGCCAGTGAAACTGCACCTTTAAGGATCACCCAGAAAGTCTTTCACAAAACACAAGATAAGGCTCACTGTTCCTCGTATCTAAGATTACAAATAAGCAAAAGGAAAGCCAAATAAATGCAGTAGCTTAACATTTCCCTCCTAGAAAAGAGTAGGAAAAAAAAAGAAAATAAATCCAGGGTTTTCCTTGTTGTAGAAAACCTTTACAGACTTTTTAAGGGGATAGTGAAGGATGCTGTACACAAAGGAATAGATTGAGGGGCACAGCTGCGTAAGGTACAAAATTATTTAAAGTAGTGAGGAGCTGTGGCTACTGCATTGGCTTAAGGCTGTTACATGGAAGGTGTCTCAGAAGATTTTATTTTTCTCAAGAGTTCTATACTATTTTTCTTCAGATTAGGTCATAGGCAATTCATTAAGGAAAGGTCCAAGAGAGTAACTGGAAAGAAGGGAAAATGTAGTAATTCTTCTTGTTGAGAAATCACCAGTTTCCACATTAAAGATGGCTTTTCCCCTTTTACACTGATTCTTTAAACTGTTTCCTGTAATTCTTGCAACTGGGAAAACTGTGTATTAGATGCAGAGCACTCATCTGTGAGTGTGTATGTGAGACTCTCTCTAATCTGTAAAAGGTATCTCAGCTAGAGCTGAGACAAAACTATTGATTTAACTAAATAACCTCTCATGACCAGCAGACAACTTCTGAATGGTTGTAATTCTGCCAAATATGCCAAATCACTCCTTGAACTGGTATGTATAATTATAATTAATTATAATTATTTCTCAGACCATCTAAGTTAAATGCTAGTCATTTTGACTTAAAGCTTTTTTTAAAAAAATCATTTTTTAAGATAGCAGAAGTTTTGTTGATTTAAACTTTTTAATATGAAAACACACAAACAAGCAAGCACCCAATTCCACCTTCCCAAGTAAAAGCCTTTCATCCGACTCTTATCTAAAAGTGGCGAATACAGAAAAGGAGAACCAAGAGTCCTAGATCATTCTGCACAATATTTAAGAGCGATCTTACTATGTTCCTCCACCCATCTCCTCCTTTCTTCCTTAAATACTGATTCTTCCCATTTCTAGATGTCCTTTTTTATTCTGCTTGTTTCTGTCATTTGTCCATTTCTCCATTAGCCAATAATCAGGCTTTCCTTCCCATTCCAACCATTTCCATTTCAGTTCTCATTTCTATCTCCCTTTTCTCACCTCCTCCCATTTTTTTCTCTCTTTGTCTCATCCTCCCATGGCTCATACCTCTTTTCCTCCTGTATGTTCTCAATGCCAATGGCACTACTCCGTCGCCCATGGAAGCGGCTGGCTCGAGTACGTGATGGGCTCCTACCGGGCAAGGCAAAAGACTAGAAAAAAGGAAAGTGTGACAGAAAGGAAGGAGGGAGGGGAACAAGACAGGAAAAACTGTGGAGAACTGGAAGCATGGGAGAGGGAGTTTGCAACGTGAATCCAGATCCTCTCCTTTACTCTGAGATACAATAGCACGGCCCAGCTCCCCCGGTGCAAGGAGTGCTTTCTGTCAGTGAGAAAGAGAAGCTAGGGCGTACAAAGGTGGTATGAGAAAGAGACAGAGACATACAGAAAGAAAGGCAGAACAAGATACACAGCAAGTATAGAGAGAAAGAGGCTCAAGAAGGGAGGTATCCCCATATGATGAGAGAAGGACAGGCAGAATCAGAAAGGTAAAAAAACTAAAAGTGCAAGGAGAGAAGGAGGCAGCAAACCCAAGTCATTCCTATTCTATGACTTTGTTGTGCTGACATAAAGAACGCATACAACTGAGTAAACTGTCACCAAGAAACTTCCATGCTGAAGGGCACTTTCTTGACTTACTCAGAGATGGTTTTTTTGTAGTTTGCCTGCAGGCAGAGACCACAATCAGCTGGATGCACTTTGGCCAAGGTAACCATATTTCCAACATCAGAAACATGGATCCTTTTCTGGAAACCTCTGTCATGGATTTATTATGCTCATACTGATCATGTATGTTTAGTATCCCTATCAAATAAGAAAGGCTTTGATAGTGACTAGAAATATTCACTCTTTTTCTCACCCTAAACTTTATTAATTCTGATGTTTGTTCCCAACATGCAAAATCTACTTACACCCAAACATCACCTTGAATAAACATTGTGCACCTGTTTATATTATGGGAAATAATCTGATTGGTGAAATTGCAGAAAATGGAACAGATCTATTGTCCTTACATTCTCAGCTCTTGCCATACGACAATACAGTACCATTCTGGTCAAACCACAGTGCGTGCATTTCTTTAAGGTATGGCAACATACAGGATCTAATCCAGGATAGCAGAGATAGGTGTCTGATGCAGAATCATGTTTAGCTTTCTTCTCCCAGTCTGCATCAATCTCAGCTCTAGTTTACAGGTGAACTGGGGCTAGAGATAGGCACAGACAAAACAGACTGCAACACATGCTGTCACCACTTGTGAAATGGGATGATACAACAAAAAGAGATTCACAGAAAGACAAGAGGACAAACTAATAGGGAAGGAGAAATAAAACGTATGGGTGGGTGACAAAGGTATGCCAGGTTTCTTCTTACAGCCCACCCGAAGACCTTACCGCAGCAATGGCCTTAGGGCCCTCGGCGACACTCTGGCTGAGGGCAAGGCCAGCTGTAGTTGGGCGGCTGGGCAGGGTGGCTGGCTGCTGCTTTCTCATGGATATCCCCATGGTATCCAGGCTCTGGCTGCGGCCTCTGATCACCCGCTGAACAGAAGGGAGGCAGGGAAACAGACAAACACAGATACACGTATAGACATGCACACAGCAGGGCAGTATGAAAAGCACCACAGATTGGGTGACAGACCAACACCAGAACCACAGAACTCCTAACTCCTGGAAGGCAGCATCTTAGATATTACCCATTTTTGGTCCTAGTTGATCCATGGAGCTCACTGCCAGGGAAGAACTCATCTATATATGAATATATAAAACTACATATGTATATACTTGAGAATATACTCAGTTACATTCTCTACTTTACTTTCACCTCCCTTGTCCTGTTGCAATAGATTCCCTACCAGTATCCCAGCATACTGGATAAGACAGCATCACCTGGAGCAGTCCTACCCAGTATAGGCTACAAAACACAAAATCAAACTTCTGCTCAAGACTGTAAGGTTCAGTCTTGCATGAACTTGAGTGCTGGTTCCAAGGGGAAAGCAGACATATCAAGGTCTGCAGCATCTGAAAAAGCCATTTTCTGAGTTTACTCAGCCTTTCCTAGCCTTTTACAAAGGCTGTGTACCTGACATGCAAATGACAGCATCTGCTACAAGTCAGAAAAGGACATTTGGGGATAATTAGTGTAAGACTTGGACAGGTATGAAATTCCTGGTTAGCAAAGGCAGGGTAGACTGATTGTAGCTAAAAATACACCTCACCAAAGCATCCCAGCTCTGACCAAATGTATGCATATAGTTACCAAACCTGTATGTGAATGGATTAGTTTCATAGACTTTAACGACTCTAATCAGCCCACCATACAAAGCCAGTGGAGGTCACTTGAAGAACTGCTGTTTATAATACAGCTCTCTGTTCAGACAGATAACTTACTAGACAAAAGAAGTGGTGAGGTACTTCCCACAGAAGTAGGTAGGAAAGAGATATAAGATTCTCTCTACATAATCAGTTCAAAACTCAGTTTGCCTGTTTGTACAAAAACCTTGCTTTCTCATATCATCTTGGTCACTTTTCAAAGTAAGTTCTGTCACCTGATCCTGATTTACTAAAAAAAAAAAAAAAGGAAGTGTTATCTACACTGAACAAAGGTAAATTAACTCTGGCTTTTAGAAGGTAACTAGAACATCACAGTTTTTCTAGCCATTACAGTCACAGACATCTTAGAAACTCTTGCAGTGGCTCTTGCAATTCTTTCAGTAATAATGAAAATGAATTGGAAGAGATCTGCCGTAGGAACTGAAAGCTGCTACTAGTTATTACAATTCGTCTTGCGAACACTCGCTCCTTTTTCTGTAAGTCCTGGAGTGAAACCCTGTCTGACACTAGATACCAACATGAAGCATAAAAAGTTTGACTTCTCAGGGACAGTATGGAATTCCACTGTGGACTATGCTGTAGCTCTGTAGAAAAGAGCACAGGAAGGGGAAAATGTCTTTTCATGAGAAATATGGTAAAGCACAATTGAAGATGCTCTAAAGAAAGGCTGCTGGATGGAAGGACTTTTTTCTGTCTTACCCTAAGCACAGCTGATCAGTGGGGTCAATATTCCTTGGAGGGACACACAATGAGCTTGAAAAAAGTGTGAGCAACTGGGTAAAGAATCAATCCACTATGGTTCACCTTGAAATTCTCGAGGAAGCCCCCACTGCCGTTCTCTATCTTGTCATCCTCTCCTATAGGCAATCCCATCATACTGCGGCTGCGAAGCTGCAGCTCCTCAAAAAGGCTCTCCAAGAGGGCACTCCGGGTTCTTTCCTGCATCAACATTGGGAATAAAAACACAGCTATTATTGGGAGCAGAGGGAGGTTTTTTTCCTGTTTTTGCAATGTCTCACATCCTCCTTTAAAAAAAAAAAATCATGAAAAATATTTTAAACAGTTTGAAGTGGTTTTAGCTGTATACTTACGGAATACATTACAGTAATATCCAGACCATTTAAACTCTTTCTAAAGCAAGACATCAGCACTTTTTTACAGGTGATGAAACAGAGGCATGTATTGAGGGCAATTTTTTCTAGATCAGGCAAGCAGCAGAGGCTGGGACAGAATTTTATACCTTGAACCAAAAATCAGTGATATCAGCACACATCCTGTAGGCACAACACTGAGTTTCAGCTAATACAGAATTTCCTCCAGCAAAATGTATGCATCATATTCCCATTCTTACTTGAGGATTAGATATTTACATTAGAATGTACCTGTTCATATTCTGTCACGCCTGCTGTGAAATACAAAGGAAGCATCGCATAGCTGAGTGTAATCATATTTCAACTTCCTTTTTTGACCAACACAAAATTAGAAGTAAAAGAAAGTAAAAAAATTATACTGTTATTTTCTTAATCTGGCAGTAATATAGTTTTACAAATTTTAACAGAAACAACCAGGTAAGAGACTCACCTCTAATTTAGCAAATTTCTCAGCTCGATAGCAGCTGTACTCAGCATTGATGAGCTTGACCAGGAGGAATTCACGAAACTCTGCACTCTAGAAGACAAGATGAAGACTAGACTGGAGATGAAAACAGTAATAACAATATCACATGAGAAAAATTCTGCCTTACTACTCTTTAGAGCTCCAAAGTCATCTAGCCAGAAGGACAATACTGACTCAGAACACAAGGGTGTGTACCAAATCCCCCTGCCATCTGACACCAGACCAGAGAAACAAACCTTTCTAAATATGGCTGGATTTGGCAGAGGGGGTCCAAAGAAGGGGACATCATCTCGGGCTGTGACTGAAACCTGAAACAATATAAGGGGAAAAAAATAAGTACCATAACACAACTGAGACTATCAAAACCTTCAAACTACTATGGAACATCTGATCCCTCCTGAATCATTTACATATCCAGAAGTGATCTAACACGCTGTCCTGTGCATCCAACTGTTTCTGAACTCAGTGAATGGATATGCTGATTTATCTCCCAGAAATTCATTCAGCTGGGAGATGTGCACACAGTAAGAGCAACAAAAACCAATTGAACTGATTGCTTTTTCAAAAAACACTGTAAACAAATATTTTTAGTAATAACCAGTGTATTTAGAAGAAAAAAATAAGATGCTTCTATTCAGCCTGAAAGATCTCCCTCCACTAGAAGAGTCTTTGTCAATATGGTTGTAATGACCTATTTTTTTTGACAGAGAACACTCAGTGGAGACACACTGAGGGGAGTATCTCGGTGACACCACTTCTCAGTGACACCACATCTTATGTAGTAAATACACAAAAGCACTTTCCCAGTAAGAGATAAGGAAAGCTTTTTTTTTTTTTAAAACATGCTCCTACCTGACATACCAATGCCAAAAAAAGTAAATGTAATGCAGTCCTGTTTTTATGTACTCTCACTTGGCTCTCAGCAGCACTTACCTATAATTATAAGCAGCTATCTTACCAGATCCATACAGCATTTAAGAATATTTTACAGATACTTTTTTCATCATGTTTGAGATGGAACAATACCATTATTTGCCATTTCATACAACAGAGAACAATGCCAGAACAACATAACAGCAACTGCCTCAAATTAACACTCCAGTGTCAATGTCACAGAGCAGTAAGAGGCATGAGTTTAAGGAGAGAAGGAAGGAAAGGGGCTCTCAATTTAATTCAGATTTCTCACATTGTAGGCCAATTCCCCTAATTACAAGGCCTCCCTCTCCCTCCCAATTATCTATTTTAAGTAATAGATATATATTACTTAAAATCCTGCTTTGCATTTTTAATTTTCCAGTTGCAAAAATTGATTCAAAGAAATAAATGACATTAATATTGCAATTTAACCAGTAGGCACTAAAGCTTAAGTAAATGGAACAATGGATGGAAAAAATCTTCCCAAAGTGCAGTCTCTTACGTCCTAGAATGCTCTCAAGGCAGAATGAGTTAAAATCCCTTTGGAAAAGCCTTTACAGAAGAGGATTGTTAGGATGACAGCTGGCTGAACCTGTATCTCTCCTAGAAGCCCTAGAACAGGTTTCCACTTCAAGGATCTATATCAGTAAATCAGTACAGAGGAATCTGTAAATCAGTATAGAGGAATATGCGCTCTGCTTACCTTGTAGAGAGTGTCCCCAGTGGTGCCATGAGTGAGCTGAACAACCACATAAGCATGTAGGAAATTAGAAGCAATCATATCAGGGACAAAAGGTGTACTTTCATCCTGGAAGATGATGGCTACAATGTCATTCCCAATGTGGCGTTTCCGCTGAAGCTGGAGAGGAAAAAAAAATAATAAAGAGAAAAGGCAGGTGAAGAAGAGTAGAACAGTATGATGGGACCTCAAACACCAGTCTGTCTGGCATCTCCAACCCATCTGTTCAACCAAACCCCTCATCACTACTTTTACCATTACTCCAGCCATAATACCCAACATTTATGCAGTTAAGCATTCTCCCTTCTAACCAGCCCCTCATCAAATACCCCTCCCCACCTAGCCATGCTGTTGAATTCCTTCATTCTCCTTCCAATACCTGCTGGGAATCTCCCTCTGTAAAAGGCAGCTTTGTAGACACATGAAACATTATCTCCTTGCCACGGAAATTTGTATAGACTGACTCAGTGCCCGTTTGACCTCTAGTGACATCCAAGCCTCCCCGGAACCTGCACAAATCCATACCACGCCATAGGTCAAGCAGGAGAGACATGAGAAAGTAGAAAGAAGAAAGAAGGTATTAGTAACAGTAGCCTGATACACCAGTATTATCAAAGGTGATTTTCAAGAAATCAGTGATAGTGGGGCACCAAATCTTCCCAAAACAAATGTTCTGACTGAAGCCACACAATGTTTCTCCTGATGAACATACTTGCTTGCTAAAAGCTACAAAGCCTAAACCAAGGACCCTCAGAGGAGCTACTCCCTTTGATATTCTTCTGAGAAACACAATCTATATTTTAGAACTACAGAAAGGACAGACTGCTCCACAGAAAGAGACTACAAAAATACTGACCCCTACCATTGTGAAACAAGCTTACATTCATAGAATCACAGAATGGTTTGGGTTGGAAGGGACCTTAAAGATCATCTAGTGCCAACCCCCCTGCCATCAGCAGGGACACCTTCCACCAGGTTGCTCAAAGCCTCATCCAACCTGGCCTTCAACACTTCCAGGGAGCACAGTCAAATAAAGTTATTCTTTACTGATACTGTGGGTCAGACTGAGATAGCAGGAGACCTTTAAATGAAAATACCAGCAGAGATCTAAGCTCTAACTGGTTCCCAGACCGGATGGTTGACAAAAGCATTCTGGGCTTCTCCACCTGCACTGGGATTCAGAGGACATAGCACTTTTCTGAAAGCAGGGCTCTAACAGGGTCACAGCCTCTGAACACGTGGCGTTCCCTAACTCAAGCTGGCTTTCCAGCAGCACAGGGTACGCACCCTCGGAAATCCTGCAGCTGAATCCTGTCACCAAGGAAACCCAGGAACTCCAGGAAACCCAGACTCTCTTCTGTGTTACTGAAAACTTCTTCCTCAGTCGTCTTCAAAAGGAAAGGAGAAGTCATAAGGAGAACAAGCAGTACAAAGAACAGGCAGCAATTTCTATACACAGTTTAACCAGCTTGGAGGACCTGCACAAACAAATCGATGAACATAAGGCAAGCTACTATCCTTTCCTTTTACAGCAACTGTATTTTTCACAGGATAGTACAGACCTTGTTAGTACATTTAAGCTAAGAGAACTGACTCTTTGTGTTTTGCCTCAAGTATCATGGGATCTGAGGGAGCTTACCTGTCCAGGTTTCTGGTAGATGACCCCAAATTTGAAGTTATTGCTTATGACATGTTCATCAAATGCAACAATAAGCTGTGAAGCCTGAGGTAATGAAAATACAAATTATCAGTTGGACATCATTAGCCAGACCTTGATGGAAAAGGGACATACAGACATATCAGAACATTATACCTTGGGGTAGAGGACAGGAAAGAAGCGTTCAACATTCACATCCTCACACAGTAGCTGTCAAGTGAGAGAGAGAGAGACAGGGAAACAGAAGTGTGATTATCATGTGCCCTAGCTTGCTGCAGGCATGAGAGCATAGGCACTGTTCATAATTATCTTATCCGGGAGTCCCTTCAGGCAAAAATTCTGAGATAAAATTAGAAGAGAAAGAATTGAAGCTAAATGGAAGTGTAAAAGGGAAGTATATGACAGTACTATTGGGGAATAGTAGAAAAGAAGGAAACAGGAAGACAGAGGTGAAAACAACTTGAAGAATGAGGCTGTAAGAGTGAACAGGCAAGCACAAATCTCACCTTTGCCATCTGGACAGCATTGGGAAACTCATTCAGACAGGAAATGGGGATCAGGTCATGTTTGGTGCCAGTCCGAGTCCTGACACAGAACAAAAAAGGCATTAGAGCAAAAGCTGAAGGGAGACATAAGCAACACTGGCTCTTTAAAGAAAGAGTAGCTATTCCTTCAGATTATCCTTAAAGCAGTTAATTCCAGAGGATTAATTTCAAGCCTGGTGCATAAAATCACTGGAAAAGGGGGGTATTTACACTTCTTATTGCTCATTACACGTTGTGTGGAGCAGAGGAAGACAAAACAATGCTTAACCTCTTTCTCCCTTGCATTTTTTTCTTACTTGAAGAAATATTTCTCTTACCCCACCACCACCATTTTCTTTCACAGAAATCTATATGTTGAAATAGAATTCATGGACACAGTATTATAATGGATTAATAAGATCATGCAGTGAGGGTTTGAAAGACTGTTAAAAGCTGTGCTAGAAACAACCTAGGAAAGCAGATCTCTGCAAAGTATAGGAGGTAGAAACTGCTGTAGCTTTGTTCCAGAAAGCTGATAAAGAAAAGCTTCCTTTCTCTCTATATTAAAGGAAAGATGTCTTTCTAGAGGAGAAGAAATATTGGGCTGTCAAGAGTCCCCTTCAAACCATTTATAAACAAGCTATTGAGCAAAAGGTGCTGAATGTAATATGGCATCTTAATAGAAATTATTACCCTTTTGTTCTTCACCCGTCTATTCCATGTAGGAAGGTTTCTGGGCTCAGAGAAACATTACCTGGATCAAAGAGGCTCTCTCTTTGCCCGCTCCCCGCCAGATTATTGCTCCACCTGGCACTCTGAACAGTTCTCCACATACAATGGAGGAAACCCACCAGTGATTCTCTTGTAGCTGACTCCTAACCACCTGTATAGGTTTTCCCTCAGTCCTGGATAAGTCCTTGTCAGCGGCAACTGTCCATCAGTTGCTTCCAGTGGCATTTTGCCTGATGGAAGTGCACCTAGCCCATAGTGTGGTAAAAAGCTTGTCTGCATCAAGATCCATCTCTGTTCTTCCTCTATGCCATTCAGCAGCTCTCTCTGGGTAATGGCTCTCTGAGGAAGCCCTAAAGGTTATGGCACTTTGTGAGCCATCCTGGGAAGCTAAGGAATGTTCCAGCTCACCTTCAAGAGAGCCTTAGTCTCAAGTACAAAGTCCAAAGACAGGCCTGGGCTAGGCTGCCCTCCATCGGGGGATCCATATTCTCCTAGAGAGTACTCACGTGTCTCTAAGTAAACAGAATAAACAGAAAAACTTCCTTTTTGAGGGAAGAACAGATGTTTTTCACACAGGAACTATAAAGATATGCCTGCAAACACCACTTCAGCTTCCTGAAGGAAACTGCTGGGAGAAACTCAGAGGGGAAGGCAAGCAAAGAAGGCTCAAAAGTTGCTCTGCAGTTCACTCCAGAAGAAGGATATGAGATTCACACCCGTAATTATGCAGAGGAAGCTCAAAGTAAGATGAGAGACATAGGACAGTAACACACTCTTCAACAACAGGCACGGTTACCTCAGCAACAGGCGCAGATTTTCCTGTTTCTCAATCTGTTCATACTTCACAGAAAGTACCAGGTAGCCCAAGGACATGTCACTGGAGTAAAAGTTCTGGTGCTCCTGAAAACAAGTAGCCAAAATGCATTAATCCCAACACACTTCCCAGAGAAATTCACCAGATTTTTTGCATACAACCTGTCACTCAAGATTAGCTAATTTTTTCTTTAACTAGCAATGGCAGGCTTGAGGACATGCATATGCTGTCTCCCAGCCCCCTTGGTGATCAGTGCATGAGCATATCAGTCAAATTCATACACTGTCAGTTCAGTGCCTCCTCAGCTGCTCATCATCAGAAGGGCACCTGAGAAAGAACAGGATGAGAACATTCAGCCACACATTTTGAAGAAATTGAGTGTCTTGTAAATAAATTCATATCCTTGTGCATGACACAAAAGTGTTAGGCACTAGGTCAGTAAGTGAAGTGTCCAGTTGTACAGTCAGAACTTTCACAGTGTTCTGTGAAAGGAATACTCTGGACACAATTAATTAATAATGACTCAATGAAAGCAAAGTGTGTAATTTGATCAAAACTTGTGCTAGTCTGAGAGTTCCTTCCTCAGCCTTTTGCCTAGAAAATACAGAAGGTCGGTTTTGTGTCTGGTGGATTGCAACCTCTCTCAACACACTGGTAGATTTCTTTTTGTTGTGGAAAAAACATTAACTTTTTTTTTTTATTAGTCATAGTTCTGACTCACTGTGAAATAGAGATACATCTAGCAAAATACTCTGATATCTATGTGGATGTAGACATCTTGGACTCAACAGACATAAAGCAATCCCCTCTTAAAAAAAAAAAAAAAAAGGAATAACTAAGACTATAGTCATTACCCTGAACCTGGATCTGAATATGAAGCTATTGAACTTCTCTAAGTATTAGAGATATCATTTGTCCTCATTTCCTCTTTGAGAGAGAAAAAAGCCCAACACCTAGAACTACCCTGCTACTGACTTATGAGGAGAAAGTTTCATGGCTTCTGGTGCTTGCATAGTCTATGTTCTGCTGAAGCAGACTGAATGAGTGGGTCCTGAAAAAGATAAAATTAAGAGCAGCAAACAGGTAAACACAATAATGTGGCCTCTAGCTGCAGTGTTCAAATCACAGAAGTCCAGTGTGATCTGTCACACAAGTCAATGGCAGTGACTGAACTTATCTGTACATGGGGAAAAAAGGTGAAATCAAAGGAAGCCACAAAGGCTGAGGGCACAGTTTATTTCTCCTGACCATGACTTTCAGGATACTAATAGATTTTTGGGATGTGAACAAGAATCAGGTGCAGTAGTCATTGTGACCAAGGGTAGAAAGACAGAGCAGCTGAGGAACAGACAGATTTAAGGAGCAAAATAAGAGCATGCTCAATGGTCAGCTGAAGTCTAGAATCAAAGAAGTCCATAAACCAAAGAAGTCATATACTAGGGCAGATGCCCAAGACAGGCTGTTAAGGAAAAAGATGGCACAATGCCAACAAAAGTCAGGACTAGAAGGCAGAACAAAGGAATAAAAGCCAAAGCCTGTGGTTAGCTGCAGCCAAAAGTGACACTGAGCTGCAAAGACCAGAAAACAGGACACCTTTTGATGAGACTTCTGAGCCTGACCGCAGCAGGTCTGACACATGGGAATCTCAGTTGGTTTGGAGACTGGGCTATCAGCTCTGCAGCCAGCATAAGTAGGTAGAGCTGCACAAAGGAGTGCAATCTTCACAGGCACCAGAATTAGTGGAGGTCTTAAAATAATTGAACTTTTGTCAAAGCTACTCTTGCTGCCTAGCTTGATCCTGAATGTAAGTCTGGGTTTTAAACTGAGATGCAAGTAATTTTATGTATGGACAAAACTATTATTTCTTCATTATGACTTTGTTTTCCTCTGTGATTTTCCTTCTCTGTAAACACATAGGCAACAGAAGGCAGACTCTGAGTCCTTCAGTGTACAACAGTGGTTATTGTTAGCGTTCCTGAAGTTAGAGATGAACCATCAAAAGGCTTTATGGTTAATACTGAAGAGTGCAACTCAGCAGTGACAAGATACCCTGGAGCTGAGATGACCTATGTATAGGTAAAAATGTGTTCAGCCATACAAGCAGTTTCTGCAACATGTAAGGCAGTCTGAAAGGAAGTTCTGGATTTCAAATGGATCTCTGTAAAAGTAATTAAATATCTTCCATGGGGCCAAGGGAAGAGACTAACAGAATACACAGGGAGTGCTAACAGTTTGCCTGAGAAGTTATAAAGACATCTGCCATGTTCTTAGCTGTATGGGTTCTTTTTGATGAAATAGAATTATTTTCACTACTCAGTAGCAGCAATTACACCAAAGACAAACAAACCAGACAAAAATAAAAGGTGCCTTCCCCGTGGGAACTGGTATGTCTCATCAGTTCTTTTAGCAATAGGAGCACAGGAAGCCAGAGAACACTAAAAGATCTTTAAAGGCTTCAAAATGGGTTCCTTAGCCCGTTCTCTTCCTTCCAGATAACTGAAAAGAAAAACTTTGAACAAACTTGGCAACCTCTGGTTACCTGGTACAATACTGGGATGATTTCATCCCTGAAGAAGAAAAGCATCTTTGGTGGCCTAATGGTTATGTGATTAGCTACAGGAAGACAATTATACCTGAACATCCAAACCTATCAATGGTGACAGATAACTAATAAATTTACAGTACTGAGTAGGCAGCATCATTATTCCAGCAAGTCTTCTTGTTGGAAAAGTGTGAGGTGGTGATTGTCAGTCAGATGACAAGAAGGACCTAGGAGCTACAGTCATTGTTGGCAACTGCAGAACACAGAGCCACTAAGGCTGGGCTGGTACTGAAATAATACATAAT